TAATAATAACAAATTTGCCCAAGAACTTTGGCATATGTGCCCTTTGAATGGCCCTGGAAAACTCCGTATCTTCATTATGCTCTGTTGTGTCCCTGAGTTGGAAAAACACATCCCTATGTTGTTGTTGTGTTTTTTTTTTAACGTTTATTTATTTTTGAGACAGAGAGAGACAGAGCACGAACGGGGGAGGGTCAGAGAGAGGGAGACACAGAATCCGAAACAGGCTCCAGGCTCCGAGCTGTCAGCACAGAGCCCGACGCGGGGCTCGAACTCACGGACCGCGAGATCATGACCTGAGCCGAAGTCGGCCGCCCAACTGACTGAGCCACCCAGGCGCCCCCCCTATGTTGTTCTTTTATTCACACAATACTTCTGACATGTCTGGTTGCCAAATGTGTGATAGTGTTTCCTCTACCAGCAACTCTCTGAGACAGCAGCTGGGTGTCCTATAATTCAACTCGATTTTGACACTGTCTACCTGGAGACACCGTCAGATCCCACAGGTTAAGGACTCAGTCCTATAAGCCCGTCCCCTCCCCCACTTCAGACGGCAATCACAAGTCCAGGTTGTCACCTGTGCTTCTGACCAACTGGCTATAAATTGGAGGTTCTTATTGATGCAGGCAGCTGGGTCCGAGGACCCAGAGAGGGGGCCCCACAGGACTAATTGAGAGGGTTCTTGGCTTCATGCAGGATGGAAATCAAATGTGAGCCGGCGGGGAGTGAAAGCAGAATTTACGGAAGATATATATAGATGTATATATACAGAGTGTCCAGGAGACTCGGAAAGGAAAAGAGTGTGAGTCTCCTCTTTGCTTGGGGTCTTTGGTTTTTATTGGCAACTGTGGTCTTGTGCACATGTCCTCTTAGGAATCAGGGAACTGGTCAGAGCAAGGACAGGATCCAGGTGTCCTTCACAAGTCACTCATTCCCTGAAGCCAGGGGGTCTTGGCATCAAGGTGTTTGGAGTCGGTGGTCTTGGAGGCGACCCCACCCAATCACTCCTTAGATGTTAGCTATTGTGCTGGAAAGTTCCAGAGATATCATTGTCTCTTTGTCCCTCACAAGGAGGACGCATGCTATTTGCATTACAAGGCATGTGTAGAGTGGGGTGGGGGTGCAGGCCCCAGCAAAAATGGAAGCTGGAAAGGGAGCAATGACGGGGGAAAGAGCTTTTTTTGATGGGGTCCCTTCAGTTTCCCCATCTCATTGTGAGACTTCCTACTCTGGTTCGATACATTTGCTAGAACAGTCCACAGAACTCAGGTAAACAGTTTACTTACTACATTCCTGGTTTATTGTAAAAGAATATAACTCAGATACGGCCGGGTGGAAGAACGTATTGGTCAGGGTCTTTCTGGTGACCAGCTCCCATTCGGGAGCCCACCAAGGTCTGCCTCTTTAGAACAAAAGACACTCGTATCACAAAAGACACTCGTATCACTCAGAAAAAATTCCAGGGGGGCGCCTGGGTGGCGCAGTCGGTTAAGCGTCCGACTTCAGCCAGGTCACGATCTCGCGGTCCGGGAGTTCGAGCCCCGCGTCGGGCTCTGGGCTGATGGCTCAGAGCCTGGAGCCTGTTTCCGATTCTGTGTCTCCCTCTCTCTCTGCCCCTCCCCCGTTCACGCTCTGTCTCTCTCTGTCCCAAAAATAAAAAATAAAAAACGTTGAAAAAAATTTTTTTTAAAAAAAGAAAAAATTCCAGGGATTTTAGACCTGTGTGTCAGGAATCAGGGTCACAGACCAAGTATTAGAACAAAATACTCCCGTATTGCTCTTATAACTTCGGAAATTACAAGGGATTTAGGGGCTTTGTGCCAGGAAACAGAGGCAGAGACCAATATATTTTCTATTTCACATTGTCCTACCTGAGACATTATTTTTTTTAAGTGTATTTATTTATTTTGAGAGAGACAGAGACAGTGTGAGTGGGGGAGGGGCAGAGAGAGAGACAGAGAGGGAGAGAGAGGGAGAGAGAGAGAGAGAGGGAGAATCCCAAGCAGGCTCCCTGTGGGGTTCGAACTCACATGTGGGGCTCGAACTCACAAAATCATGAGATCAAGACCTGAGCTGAAACCAAGAGTCCGATGCTTAACCAGTTGAGCCACCCAGGTGCCCCTACCTGAGACATTACTAACTGTTGGAAGATGTTGCTCTAAACCACCAAAGTCAGAGGTCTCTGTGACTGTTAAACTGAACGAGAACCTGGAGGCTATATTGAGAAAAATATTTTGCTATTTTTTCATTAATCATAGAAACAAATCTGCAGACACATCATGAATTTTACAGTCATGATTAGACAGTACAAGCAGTATTTAAAACTCAGGGTCACTGGGAGAAGGCAGGACCTCACCTGATCACGTCTTTGGGACTCAGGCTTCTCCAGAGAATTTAGGATCCTTGGGCACCAAGTTGGCCGGCCGAGAAGCCACGGGACATATTATGCCTACACCCGCAATTCGATTGGAAGGGGACCTAGGTGTGGCTCCACCCCTGGTAGACCAGACTCCGCCTCCCGGAGTCCTTGCCCCGAGAGCTTGCACTGCTGTAAGGTGCTCGCCCAAGCGGAGCGCCTCTGCTCAAAAGACTGTCTTGTGTATTCCTTACTCAGGATCCAAACATGCAGCAACAAGTTGGTCCCTCTACCGATTTGGGGCTCTGATCACTCAGCCAGAAATCAGTCTGACCCCAAGCCCACAGGAAGGAGCTACAGTGCTCACCCCTGACTGGCCATGAGTATGTGGCACCAACGAGTTCTCCCACCATCCTGCGGTGTCCCTCGGGGTACTTGATCTCTCCTACTCTCGCCCTTTCTGCCTCTTCCTTCCTGCCCAGACCCTCCAACACGCACACACAGCGAAGCCGGCAGCCCCTCAGGGCCTGAACGCAGGGTTTCCCACCCTCCATGTATCCACAGGACCGCACAGAGGCTGGCGCTGGCAGCCCACGACTACCCCGTGCTTTATAGACATATAGAGCGCTCACAGGTCTTAGCTAAAGTTGCTCTTCCCCAAACTAGATTTCTAGGTTTCTAGAAATCTAGATGCCTAGATTTCTATGGCACACTTCTGGCCTTGCACAACGGGCCCACAGAGTTCAGCTGCTTCCAGAATCTGCACCTTGGAAGGCCATCTCTTCTGCCTAGCTGGGGTCCCCAGGGCCTAACAGAACTGCCAGACCAGGTACCCTCTCAAATAACCTCTTAGACATGGAGTTTACCTCGTGCACTCCTCCCACCCACTTCCACCCCGAGGTCCTACGTCTTGAGAACTGCTTAGAGAAGAATTTAGCTCGGAGCAGCTCCTCTGGCTGCCCATCCAGGACACTCAGGGTTTCAAGACACTCAGATGCACATGAAGGGGAGCAAAGGTCTTAAAATCTGATAAGTGAAAATTTGCTCTTGTGGTTATAACCTAAGTGTAGGGAATTCCTCATAGCACCGTGTCTCCAACTCCTGGGGGGCCCACTGATGGTTCCACATGTGAAAAACAAAATACATGAACACAAATGAGCACACCATCAGAAAAATCCCTCAGAACCACTAATCCCACCACTGCTTTGCCTTTTTTTCTTTCATGTATATTGAGCTACCGTCACATGAAGACCATTTTAATGATCAGTCATAGGGAGACAAAAGAGACACAGAATCTCTACCCCCAGCAAGGCAAAGCCCAGCACCTAAATCCTCCTGAGGAAGATGGATATATAAAACCCAACTCCCAGGGTATTACAGGAATTAACTCACATAATTTGTGTGTGGTTCCCAACACAGTTCCTGAGACATAGTGCACACTACCATTTTTGTGAGCACATTGCAGCTGTTAAAATATATATATATATTTTATAGATTTATATTGATATATTAATATATACTTATATATTAATATTTATATATTAGTGAATGCATGCTGTTTCTGTAAGGAAAAATATAAACTAAAAACGAGAGAGAGAAACAGATTGAATTCTCTCTTAAAAAGGGGGGGAGGAAAAGAGACTTCTCTTCCTCCTTTTTCCTAGAGCATTTCTCTTAGGAAACGTCTAAGTTTTCTCTGCCTGTTTGGAATGTATGTATGTCTTTTAAAAGCTAAATAAGACCCTTGCCAACATTGTAACTCAGGAATGTTTGCTCAAGGATCTGGGAGTCAACTCTTTGAAATGTAAATATCAAAGGAGATAATACATTTATCTCCTCCCAATTCCTGCGGGAAGATAGGTGCCTAACTCAGCAGGTGCCTTGCTCCCAGTTTCAAAACTCCCTCCAGTCGTTAATATGAGAAGTTTGTTTTCTCTCTGGATAGAGCCAATTAGCTAAAACAAGTGGCCACTCTGCTTACCTGATAATGTTAGGATGAGCTATGTGTGACGAATGGTGTCGTCATGTCTTCTTGAGGAAAACTTATTATCTTTCTTGAGAACATGTATGTAATCGGTCGTATCCGCTTGCTTGTCTTCTATGACAGGGTAAGATTTATCTTTGCAATCTCTCAACAGATTGCCTGTGATGCATGTCACACTCTGGTGTAAAGCTTACTCACTAATGAAACGGTTTTCTTTCCTACTACCTTTGTGGAGAGGATTGCTGGGTTGGGAGATGATTTTATTTTTAATTGTATTCCCCAATCCCTCCCGCCAGCAAAAAGAGCTTTGACTTACACCATTTCCAACTTAAAAAAGGAAAACATTTCGGCTTCTAATATAAGTGGCTCTCACAACTCTAATCTTTTACTTCAACTTGTTTGAAACATTAACTTCAAATAGCCAGGAGGCCGCTCGGTCCACGAGATACCAAAGAGATTCAAAGAAACTCAAAAGCAGGGTGCAAGGTACTTTAGGGCTGAAAGTGCGGAGAAACGTCCAGGGGCGGTTCGGAGGCCCAGACCCTACGCCTACTTCGGCCACGCCCCTTCGGCCGCTCACTTTCTGTCCAGTCCAGGCCACTGTCCAAGGCCCGTCCCTGGGCGGCCCCCCCTCCTCCCCCCGCCGCACGCTGCGCACGCGCAGTTTCCCGCAGACCCGGAAACGGAGCTAAGGACACCCTCCCGTGGGTCAGTGTCAGCTTTTCTGATTCAACACTGGTGTTTGCGATACACCTGCCCGTCCCCGGCCTCCGATCCGCAACACCCGCAGTTCGGGGGTCACCACGTACGATAAAACCCCCTTCAGGCGCTTGTGCTGCGCCCGATGATTCTCGGCAGGACCGTCAGATATTCCAGGCCTGGGAGCCCCACTGCGGGTTCGGGGGTCGACGACTATTTCGAGTTAAAGTCTCTGAGGCGCGTCCCCGCCCCCGGCCGTCCGCCTTCGGTCCAGGTAGACCGCTCCTGCCGCGTCTTTTTCCTGCTGAAAACCCTCCCGGGACTCCGCACTCTCTGGCCCCTTCCCCTTCGCGTCCTCCCTCTCTGGCCCCCAGGCTGCTCCTCTCTCGTCTCCCCCAGGCGCTAGTGCAGACCCAGAAGCCACGTCTCCTTGGCCTTGGGGTTCTGCAGGCACCACCCCTCTCCGGACACCCCCCTCCACCTACGCGACCTCCGGAGCCGGGCCCCTCCCCCGTTAGTGCTCCACTTTGTACTCACAGCCTTGGGAGCTTCTTCGGCACGATTCGCATCCACCGGCTGTGCTTGCCATGGTGTGTTTCCACTATTGAAGCCGCCCTGGAAAGTGTTCTTCGCGGGCAGAGAACTTTTTTTTTTTTCCATAGTTGTGAGTGTCAGGGTTGGGGGCGAAGCAGAGACAGTCTGAGGGAGAATGAGTAAAACTACGTGTGAGAGAAAGGAAGAAAGAAAGAGAGTGAAACAGGGAAGAGCAGGTGGATGTGGAGAGAAAGAGTGGAGTGAACCACAGAAAAGTAGAGGCAGAAAAGAAAGTAGAGAAATCTAGAGTAAAAGGTATCTCCAGAGAGGTGAAGGGTAGCACACTGGACGAGAGAGATCTTAACCGGTGATGGGCGTGGGGCAGCAAGGAGCAGGCACATCAGAATGAGAGTGGGGAAGGAATAAAAGAATTGGGGCCGTGGCAGATAGAGGTGGTGCTGGGACAGAAAGAGGGGCAACGGTGACAGAGACAGCAGAGGGGCAAACAGAGCAGGGAGGGAGTTCCCTGGCTTTCAATCCTTTCATTGGCTTCTGGTTGTCCTCGGGACAAAAATCCAGACTCCACTGTGTGGCGACAGCCTAGAGCTCTGCAGGTGGGGTGACCTTCCAGAGTTGGTCCAATGTGAGGGAAGGAAAAGCCTTCTCTTTCCTGCATCGACTGGACATTGGACACTGGCTGGTCAGCCAGGTGCTGTGGTGAAGAGGCCGTTTACAAGGAGGGAGTGAGCTGTCCAGCAATAGCAGCCAGACTGACAGCTGTGGGGCAGTTTGTGCCTGAATCCTGAGGGGTGGATTCAGGAAGTGCAGCTAGTGTTTCCGTGGTTGACTTGTGGGGTCTCTTAGGACCCATAAGGGTTTAACGGGAAAATGTCACCATTTGGGGGGTAATCTGTGGTGGTTTTGGTGGGGAAAATCTCATTATTTCAGGCAAAGCATTCCTGAAGGCATCACATGTGTTTTGTGGGATACAGATGACAGTTGGGGGTGTTCCAGAAGGTCCCGGAGTCTAGTTGGAGTATGTGGATCATTGCAGACATTGCTCTTGTATCATGGCGTCATGGAGGTGCCTGACGTTGGGGTATGGTCTCCAAGAGGGAACGTGTCGAATCCTGGGTTGGTGGGTGTCTTCCTGCCAAAATAAAAGACTGGTATTAGGAACGTGGCGTAGGATCTTTGGGCAAAGTGCGTAGCTGATTAGGAGGTTCTGTCGTGTAATATTGTGTGTGGGGTGTGCGCTGGGAGTGTAGCACAAACAGCATGGGAACCCGCAGGAGTGTGTGAGTCAAGAAGGGAAACGGTGGGGGACTGGGGCCCAGGAGGTGGGTGCTTTCACTGAGGCAGGCTTGCTGGAGGTGGGTCTCTGGGAACAGCTGCAGAACGGCTGTGAGGTCCAGCAGTACGACAGCCTCAGGATCCTTTGGACCCTGCTCATCAATTTTTACCTCCAGGCAATTATTTGGTTCAGCGTATACATATGGCGATATCGTCCCATCTTTTTAAAAAAAATTTTTTTTTTCAACATTTATTTATTTTGGGGACAGAGAGAGACAGAGCATGAACGGGGGAGGGGCAGAGAGAGAGGGAGACACAGAATCGGAAACAGGCTCCAGGCTCTGAACCATCAGCCCAGAGCCCGACGCGGGGCTCGAACTCACGGACCGCGAGATCGTGACCTGGCTGAAGTCGGACGCTTAACCGACTGCGCCACCCAGGCGCCCCTATCGTCCCATCTTTTAAAAAAATACACAAAAAATAGGCTTTTACTACATTCTCCCATCTTTATTTTTATTTACAAAAATTTTTAATGTTTATTTATGAGAGACAGAGAGAGAGTGGGGGAGGGGCAGAGAGAGACAGAGACACAGAATCCGAGGCAGGCTCCAGGCTCTGAGCTGTCAGCACAGAGCCCGACGCGGGGCTCCAACTCACAAGCGGTAAGGTCATGACCTGAACCGACTGAGCCACCCAGGCGCCCCTTTTCTCGCACCTCTAAAATAAAGAACCTTCCATCAGCCGCATTCCCCGTGGTGGTGAGTGCCCTGGGGTGTGCTCCATTTTAGAGCAGAATACACTAAACACTTGTTTATACTCTGCTTCACATCTTGGTTCCGGTTCTGTTTCGTATCCACTGCGCCGCTGAGACTCTCCATGGCCGAGTCACCAGGGACCTCCCCACTTCTCAGTCCAGGGACTGGCTTCCCCTTCTCTTCATGCTGGTCCCAGCAACAGCACACCAGGCTCCTCTTTCTGAAGCACTCTTCTCTTGGTTTCCACATCACACTAGTTTTTTACAAGTAAAACTACCACTTACCTGTTTTAACGTTCTTCTCCATGTTCATGCGTCCGTTCCCGGCGCCTGTTTCTCCTAACTCCTTGGTCTCTGACTGCAGGAGCACCCCTGGGCTTAGCCTTGAAACCCTTCTCACTTCCTGCCTTTCCCCCTCGCCCCATCTCATGACTTTCAACACTGATGTCTCCTTTCACTGTTCCACCAGACTTCTCCCCTGAAACCAGGGGCCTTTACCCAGCTGTCTCCTCGATGTCTCTGCTGGGACAACAGCCTGGTATCTTCACCTTAATATGTCCAACAGTGACCCCCCCCCCAAACTCCTCCAAACCTGTCCCTTGCAGTCTGCCTCTGCATATAGGGTGACCCTGTATTTCCTGGGCTTAGATGGGCATCTTGACATGTTTGCAAAACAGACATTACTTGTTAGTGTTTTAACTTAGGACACAATAAATAAAAATCAGATGTTTACTCAAAATGGATAAGGGAATACATGAGGTATGGGGGACATTTGGAAGAATGCAGTCCCTTCTGATTTGCTTCCTTTAATACTTTCTGATCTTACCTCCTTGTCTTCTCTACTCACCCTGCTCCAGCTGCACAGGCTTCTCTGTCCTTTCTGGAGCTCAGAACACCACTACCTTAGGGTCTTCACATGGGTGTCCTTCTGCCTCGAAGTCTCTGACCCCTCACGTGCAGGTGGTAAAATCTCTTCTTTCCTCTGGTCTTTGTTCTGATATCACCTCTCAGTGGCGCCTTCTCGCCCCCACTCCCTTTAACGTTCCAGCCACGCCCCCACCCCCAATTCTGGTCCATAGTGCCTCCTTGGCATCTCTCTCCTGCTCCTTCCCCTTCCACTGGCTGGATATTCATGACAGCAAGGCCCCTGGGGATCCAGAGCCAGAAGGGGGATGTGCTGGATGGGCCTCCTGAGTGTGCTCCACCCAGCTTCACGCTGTAAATCTGAGGCTGTCTGCAGATACAGCTCTTGTGTTCCTCTCAAAGATTCCCTTCAAATGGCCAAGGGGAGACAGGGCCTGATCTCAGTCCTAGTTAAAGTGCCTCGGGGGTTTCTGATGTGTCTCCAGCGCTGAGCACCAAGGCTGTGGTGCTACGTGTCTGAGGCTGACATCAGCTCCTGACCCAGGGAGAGGTGAGGGCCCCCCCCCTCCCCCGCTCTGCATTGGGTGTGATCGGGGCGGGCCTGTGACCTGCAGGGGAGGGTCAGGTCCCGCCCAGGTCCCCACTGATGCCGTGTGCGGGGGAGGGGGGAGGGCCTTCACCAGGGCGGGAGCCGGTTCTGAAGAAGAAGGGTGGGAAGGTCACTTGCTGGCCTCTGGAGGAGTCCACTGTCCCGGGGCACCCCCCGTGTTTTCACACGGAGAGGCCTTCCCGTGTGAGGCTGCAGGACGGGAAGGACCCAGACTGACTCAAAGCATTAAGCTGCGTTTTCTTGACACTTAGGATTGAATTCCCAAGCCTGATCCTGCCTGAGGAAGAATCCTGGAAAGGGAGGAAGAGCAAAGGAAAGGAGTCGGGAATGGCCATCTGTCAGGTGAAGTCATATCCTGGGTCGATTTCCTGTCTCTCATTCCTGCAAGGCCCTTCTTGGACTTGCTAACCTTGTCTGAGTCTGAACTGTTTGTCCACACTCCCCCAGGCCTTCCCCCAGTCCCTCTCCTCTGCACTTAGATTCCAGCTCCTAGTGACCCAGGGATCGGAGCCTGTGAGGGGGCTGCACTGGGCACATCCTGAGGGGCTTCGCAACAGGCGAGTGGAGACGGGTGGTGTCAGTGTGGCTGGGCTGCAGGGGGTGTTTAGGGGCCGCCTCTGGACACACAGTAGGCTCTCTGTCGACCAGGATGAAAGAAGCCGTGTGTGGAAGTCCTGGATTCATGTGTAGGAAGAGTTGGAAGACTCTGGAAAAGAAGAGTGGTAAGAAGAAAGCAGCTCTGCCTGACCTTGTAATGCATTCAGAGCTGAACAAGTGCACCATGGTGTTTCTGGTTCCAAACTACTAATTTAGAATCAAGTTCAGAAATCAGCATCCGTGATAGTGGATGTTTTATTCCATAGTTGGTTTTACAGTGTGGAGTCAACCTAATCAATGGTAAAGGTTTTAAAAAAATCATTCTCAGCACATCTGTCCCACAGAGACCATGGCGTTCCTACAGCAGCTCTTGTGAGGCAGATGTTTTAGATGAAAATGGTGTTAATTTAGCCCAGATCTGGAGCATAGAACTTTATCTTCACCATCAGAGGGGCTGTAGCCATCTGGTTCCACCATTATTTTTAAGTATTATATCTCATTGACCTTGGACATCACATGAGTGAGTGACATGTATTGATTGGTTGATTGAATAAGCTCCAGACCAAGAAGCAACTTAGGCACGAAGATGTAGTCAGAAGGGGATGCTCTTCCCTGTCACTTCCCCACCCTTCATGTCTCAACAGGGAACCGATGTTGTCAGTTCTGTGGCAGGAGTCAGTTCAAACCTGATACAAACGCATTTAACACTGGTATAAAATTTTAGGAAATCTCGATGAAGTTTGTCGTAACATTTTATTATGCAAATTAGAAAAATTTACACAGCACGTCTAGACACTGTTTTCATGTTAATCAACACAATCAGACACAGCTTGCTCATTCAGAGCCTCATTGGATCATTTTCTTAATGGGGACACACGGGGACCTTTGCCATTTTTCGCTGATGTAAAGAATGTAAAGAATGCCACGGTGGCTGTGTAGGAGTAGGCCGGCCTCTCTGCAGATGTCTCAGGATTTCTCTGGGTCAGGCAACTCAACGTGTGATTACTGGGTTAAGGACAGTGCATTTCACATTAGGATAGATTCTGTCCGATATGGTCTCCTGAAGCTACGAAGTACCCCATCCCACAACAACACGAGACTTCCCCCCTGACGTAGGCAAAATTGGTACTGTAACCTCTTTGTGTTTGAAAATTGGGGAGAAATTGACAATCCGTTGTATTTCCATTTTCCACCTACTTGTAACTTTCATTAGTTTTGTGGGAATAAAACCTGGATTTTCATACTTTGCTGTTCTCCTTTGATATATTTTTAAGGGCTATTTTATGGCTTAATTCTTTACACGCAGCCTTGTGTCTTTATTTTATCAGTGTTTTGCAGTGAAATGTAAATCTTTCCTTCTTGCCCTCTACTTTCGGATCTTTCTTAGGCAGATCTGAGCTAGCATAATCTCAAGGTATTATGTTCCATTTAGGACTCTTTTCTTAAAATTATCTCCTTAAATTAGCTTTTCGTATATATCTGGTAGTTATTTATTTCATTGATTATAAAGTTTCATGTAACACACACACATTAATAGGTTCATGTGTTCTTTGGCAAATCTCTCCATTTAATTTTTCTTTTCAAAATTATTTTTCCTCAGCACAATGGCCACTGTTTCGTTTTTTTAAATCCCACATTTCTTTTGCATTTGAATTGCTCTGAGTTTCTAAATCACTGAGGTCTTTATGTCACCACACCTCCAGTAAGAATTAGGTTTGGGGGTGCCTGGGTGGCTCAGTCAGCTGAGCATCTGCCTTTGGCTCAGGTCATGATCTTGTGGTTCATGAGTTCGAGACCCACGTTGGGCTCTTTGCTGACAGCTTGGAGCCTGGAGTCTGCTTCAGATTCCATGTCTCCTCCTCTCTCTGCCCCTCCACTGCTCGTGTTCTCTCTCAAAAATAAAAAAAAAACATTAAAAAAATTAAAAAACAAAAAGAATTAGGTTTGTCAGTTTTTGGTCATGTCTTTGTTATGTCCTTCACATAGGTTGGGAAATGTCTTGCAAATAGGTTCCTCAGTGCAACTTCTAATGGGAATGAGTGTTTCCCCCCAGCTGAGCCCAGCTTAGGCATCCAGAGCAGCGGTGAATGGCAGTAGCCTGGCTGGCCCACCTACCTCAGCCTCACCTTTGGTGGAAATGTTTCCAGTGCTTACTGTGGATTGTGATGCTTGGTGGAAAGTTCTTCCTCAATAAAAACGTTTCAGATGTCCTGTTTGGTACGATTTAAAAAAAATTTTTTTTTAACATTTATATTTTGAGAGAGACAGAGCATGAGACGGGGAGGGGCAGCGAGAGGGGAGTCCCAGATTCTGAAGCAGGCTCTAGGCTCTGAGCTGTCAGCACAGAACCAGATGCGGGGCTCGAACTCAGGAACCGAGAGATCATGACCCGTGATCTGAGCCGAAGTCAGATGCTTAAATGACTGAGCCACCCAGGCGCCCCCCGCCCCTTTTATGTTTTTTTTTTTTTTAATCATCCAATATTTCTTCAAAGATCTGCTGTGACCAACCTGTGTTCTATTTAGTTCAATTAATGTACATTAGTAAAGTTCATCAACCCGAATCCTTTGTTGTTTTTAGTGGAATAAGCTCCATTTGATGCATACTTTCCATAATGGCTAAATGTCTGACTTTAGATGAAAACATGTATTTATATTTTTGCATATAGTTTGTCACACCTGAAGTTACCTCTTGTGCTCTAGATCCACTAGATGTGTAGAACTGTCACTCAGGAGAAGGTCAGGTGTACGGCGTACGGCGTCCATATAATCAACCGCGAGTTGGATATTTTTCATTTATATCGTTCTTTTTATTGTCCACAAAAATGGGAAATCTACAGTGATGTAGTGGATCCGACATCCTCTGATGGAAAAATATAATGAAACAAAATTAGGGACCTAAGAATTGCTCACAGTTACCTGTTCTTGCCCAAAATGATATGTCAGAACATTCACTTCGGTTGAATCGGTCCTTACACTGCTCTCCCGCTCATATTTTGTGTGAACAGGAGAACTCACCCCCAAGGATCCGTGGTGAAATGTGTTTTTCATTTCAGGAACGGTTGACCTTCAGGGATGTGGCCATAGAATTCTCTCAGGAGGAATGGGTGTGCCTGGACCCTTCTCAGAGGGCCTTGTACAGGGACGTGATGTTGGAGAACTACAGGAACCTGGTCTCCCTGGGCAAGGAAAACGTCCCTCCAGAAGTCGGGATCTGCCCCAGTGAGTCTCTTGGGAGCCCTTGCTCTGCTTGATGGAGATTGAGGCTGGGTTCATTTTGAAATGAGAACTTTTATGAGGCGGCATCCCCTTCCGCTCCCCCTTTCGTCAGATGGTCTGCCCACCCCACCCTAGATTAGTGGTGCCTCCAGAAGTTGAGGAAGAACAAAACCTTATGGCAAACTTTAAAAAATGTCTCATTCTGGATCCACTTAGATCCATGTACTTCTGACTCAGTAGTTCTTGGAAGAGAGCTGGATATCTATGTTTTTAAAATATCCCATAAGCATTCAGGAGAGAGTGAAGAGGCCTGTGGAATGTTTTTCTAGACATCTGTAACATCCTCCTTCCTCAGCCGAACAAAGGGCTGGAATTGGATTCTGGAAAAGATACAGCACATCACATTCCTTTCTTTTTTTTTTTTTTTTTTTCATTCCTTTCTTTTTATAAGCAGGAATCTCCCTTTCTGTCTTGAATGATATCTCTATTTTGGAGCAAGGTGAAAACAGTGAAAAAACCAAACGGGTGGGAACATAGGCAAGAGCTCAGAAGGGCAGAAAGGAGGCCACACCGTTAATGGTGTTTGGGGAACTCTCCGCCAGTGGGGGAGTTCTGTGGGAAAACAGATGTGTCTTTCTTGTGAGCTCTCAGAGGAAAAGTTTGCTTCCCTTCCCCTCATCACTCCCTTCTTCAGACGTGTAGAAATGCATCCTCCTAGCCCCTGGCTCATGCAAAGACCAAGGCAAAATCTTTGTCATGACCTGTAGCACTCTATTAAGTGCCCCATGACTTTTTTTTTTTTTTTAAGATTTTATATTTGGGGCTCCAGGCTGTCCGCATGGAGCCCTGAGTGGTTCAGTTGGTTAAGTGTCGGACTTCGGCCTAGGTCACGATCTCCTGGTTTGTGGGCTCCAGCCCCACGTAGGGCTCCATGCAGACAGCTCAGAGCCTAGAGCCGCTTCGGATTATGTATCCCCCTCTCTCTCTGCCCCTCTCCAGCTCGTGCTCTCAAAAATAAATAAATGTTAAGATTTTATTTTTAAGTAATCTCTCCACCTAACGTGGGGCTCGATCTTACAAACTCAAGATCAAGAGTTGCACGCCCTCTTGCTGAGCCAGCCAGGCGTCCATGCCCCTGTGACCTCTTTTGTTCCTTGACCATGAAGGGCACTAGGGGGCTGGTTTTAAGGGGTTCTCTTTCTCTTTCTCATTCTTTTCTCATTCTCATTCTCTTTCTTTCTTTTCTCATTCCATTCTTGTTCCCAGTCCACACGGGTCAGAGCTGAAGCCTCCCCAATCCTGGCATCAGGACTTCTCTAGGATCATCCTCAATCTGTGTGCTTAGGATACCTGCTCCTGGTGTTGGAAAACATCAGCATCTGTGGGCCCAGAGCTCTCTGCCTCTTCAGGCCCTTTCTTCAGTTTTGCTTTTGCCCCACGTTAGAGTGTGTGTCACGGGGGTGGGTGGGTCTCTCAATCCAGCCCTGAAACTGCTTTGACTCAGCAGCAGTATAAGCACGTCCACACCACACTATACTGTAAGTTTCGCTATGTTATGTGTTTTTGTTACTTTTCTCTCAAAGTATTTTCTACTTTGCTGTGTGATACCTTCTTTGACCCATGGGATTTTTTAAGCGTTTAAAGATCTTCATGTATTTATGTCCTTTCCAGTTTTCCTTCAGTTACTAATGTCCAGTTTCATTCTTCTGTGGTTGGAGAAAATACTTTGTCTGATTTCACTCTTTTTCGATTTGTTGAGACTTACTTCACGGACTGATATATGGTCTGTCCTGGAGAATGTCCCACATGCAAGTGGGGAAGAATGCATTCTGCTCTTATGGGCGGGGTGCTCCATATACGTCTGTCAGTGCTTGCTGGTTTATACTCGGCTAAAATTGTCTGTGTCCTTCCTGAATTTCTGTCTGGCTGTACTCTCCATCATTGAAAGTGAGGTCTGGAAGTCTCCAAATACTCTTCTACCACTATTTTTATTTCTCCCTTCAATTCTATAAATATTTGTTTCATATATCTTGGGGTTCTCTTGTGTATATGTTCATATTTGCTGTAATTCCTTAATGAGTTATACTTTTTAAAATATATATTGTCCTTTGTCTCGTAACAATTTTTACTTAAAGTCTGTTTTTTCTGATACTCCAGACACTAGGAAAACAAAAAATTCATTAGATTTGCAGTGCTCTCTGAGCCCACAGTATCTCCAAGGTATGCCTGTATATAAAAACTTTCTTCTTTTATTTTTTATTTTTTTTAGTGTTTATTTATGAGAGAGACAGAGTGCGAGCAGGGGAGGGGCAGAGAGAGAGGGAGACACAGAATCTGAAGCAGGCTCCAGGCTCTGCACTGTCACCACAGAGCCCAATGCAGGGCTCAAACTCACAGACTATAAGATCATGACCTGAGCTGGTCAGATGCTTAACTGACTGAGCCACCCAGGCGCCCCTGAAAACTTTGCTTCTATAAATCCTGTCCTTCTCTCCTCTGCTGCTGTCACAAATTCTGTATATATATTGTGTGACCATCAGTGGTTCACATTTAAATCACAGATTTTAAATACTGTTTGATGTTGTTGTTTTAATCAATAGGGAAAAAGAGTGACAAACTGAAAACACAATACTAACCTTATACTCACCAGTCTACTGTCTTTATTACTGTTTCTTATTTCTTGATGTGGATTCCAGTTTTTGTTTCTTCCTTCGTATTAGCCTCAAGCATTCCCTTTACTAACTTTTTGTTAGACTGGTCTTCCAGCAAGGGACTCCCCAGTTTTGTTTTGTTTTGTTTTTCTGGCAACGTTTTAAGTTTTCTTCTATTTTTGAAGGATAGTTTGAAGTGTGCAGAATTCTTTTTTTATTAAAAATTTTTTTTTCCAACGGTTATTTATTTTTGGGACAGAGAGAGACAGAGCATGAACGGGGGAGGGGCAGAGAGAGAGGGAGACACAGAATCGGAAACAGGCTCCAGGCTCCGAGCCACCAGCCCAGAGCCCGACGCGGGGCTTGAACTCCCGGACCGCGAGATCGCGACCTGGCTGAAGTCGGACGCTTAACCAACTGCGCCACCCAGGCGCCCCAAAGTGTGCAGAATTCTTAATAGACCTTTATTTCTCTTTAGCACTGTGAAAATGTCATCCCGTTGCCTTCTGGTCCATACGGTTTCTGGTGTGAAATCATTGGGTAATTTTATTGACGATCTCTTTTACCAGAGGAGCTACCCTTTGCCGCTTTCAGGGTTCTGTGTCTTTGGCTTTTGACAGCTTGATTATGGAGTGTTTCACTGTGGGCATCTTTCAGTTTATCTCACTCGGGCCTTGCTGAACTCCTTGGATATGTTTGCAGGTTTATGTACGTCACCAAATTTGGGAATTTTTCTGCCTTATTACTTCAAATATTTTTTCTGCCCATTTCATTCTGTCCTCTCCTTCTGGGATTCCCATGATCTATGTTGGTACACTTGAAAGTGCCCCGCGAGTCTCTTGTTCCATTCATTTTTCTTCATGCTTTTTTCTTCTGCGGAGACGGAGTAATCTCAGTGGACTTAATTTGTTCAATTTGCCTGTTCAATTTGGTGCTAAACTCCCTTAGGGCTTTTTCCATTTTAGTTTCTGTACTTTTCAGCTCCAGAATGTCGATTCTGGTTCCTTTTTCTAATTTCTGCCTTTGTCTTGATATTCTCAGTTTTGAGAAATATTGCTGTCATTGGGTCCTTTGGTTATTTGCATATGGTCTCTTCATAGTTCTTTCAGCATAGTTCTTTCAAAATAGTGACATAAATTCTTTGTCTAGCAAAGTCTGATGTCTGGGCTTCCTCAGGGACAATCTTTGTTAAATTGCTTCTTTTCCTATGTATGGGCTATACATTATTGTTGGTTTGCCTGCCTCATAATTATGTTTTTAAGTTAAACATTTTGAGTATTATGACACTCTGGAAGTCACATTCTCCCCCACCCATACCCGCACCTCAGCGTTGCTTATTGTTGTTTACTGCAGTTGCTGTTGTCTGTTTAGTCATTTTTCTGAGTCAGTTTTGTAAAGTCTGTATTGTTTGTCACATCTGGTTTGCTTAGTGGTGAGCTAGTGATCAAACGCATAACTTCTCAAACACCTGGAACCAAAAAAACCAAAAAGCAAGAGACTCCTGGTCTTTGGAAATAGACTTTGTACGTTTGTTCGGGAATACCCAAAACTCAGCTTGGCGGTTTACAGTGGGGTCTTAGCCTTTACCTCCTGCTTCTGCCGAGCCTGAAGGTTAGCAGGAGGTGAGGCACAGGGTCACCTCACGTGTTTTCTGAGCACTGGCCCCACCCTGGGAATGTGCACGACTTAGATTCCTAGGAACGTGTAGCTGTTTTTCAAAGCCCTTATTCCCCAAAGCATTTTACTCCCCAGCCCTTCATCCCTGGCTTTACAGTGTCTTCTCTTGGCCCCAAGTGTGCCGTCTGCTAGTATACTTGCCTTTAAATATGCTTGTCAAATGGACACCACTCCCACCCCACCTGGCAAAGCACCTCTTGAATTCGGCAAAGGCAAAACTTTTTGAGCCAGTTTTTCAGTGAGCCACCAAGCAGATCAAAGTAAAACCCACAATTCTTAGAGAATCAAGTCTGTTCTGCCACTCCCGGTACATGGGACCTATAGCAGGAACATGGGCTGCCTCTATGCTGTCGAGAATGGGATTGGGCCAGGGGAAGTTAAAATGTTAAAATCTCTCCAACTGAGATCAGCTGCCTTTTTCTTAAGTACCTACGTGATTGCTGTAAATCTTTGTTTGGTTTCCAGAATTTTGATAAAGTTGATTCTGACAGTTTTTGCCAACTTACTTGCTGTTTTTATAAAGAGATGGACTTAGAATCTTCCACGATTTTCATGCTGTTACTTTTACCCAGTTCTTTACAATACTAATTATCTGAAAACTGACATTTCAGAAGCCACTGGGCATGTGTGTAACTTAGACTGCTATGAATATGTGGAAGCTTCTCTCAACATGTTTTCCAATTCTCATATTGTGTGCTCTTTCTGGAATATAAGTCCTTTCCCTTGTTATTAAGAGAGAAATCATTAGAATTCCAGTCTATAATTGTGTGTAAGTGTGGTTACTTATTATTTACCTGTTGGATTTATCCTGGTTTAATTTAAAAATTTCATTTATCAACTTGTCATCTACAGATTAGCAGTTTCAGTATCTAGTATGGAATATGACTGCAAGTCACCAATTGTTAAATGTTCTAAAATGCCTATTCTGCATACAGCATAGACAGTTTTAGAGTAGATACTAAGAATATTTTCTTATTCCAATGATGTTGTATTAAATTATTCTTGACTTATTACCTTTTTATTTTTACTTTTATAGTTTGTAACTTCCAGGTATTTCTTATTCATTTTTTTTTGGAGGACTTTATTTTTAAGGAATCTCTATACCCAACATCGGGCTCAAACTCATGACCCCGAGATCATGAGTCACATGCTCTACCGACTGAGCCAGCTAGGCGTCCCTAATTCATATTTTTATGGATTGTCATTACTTCATGTAGAACTGTGCCTCATCATTTATTTGCATATAGTAATTATACTGTAAATATGCATTTGTATAATATGTTTTCAGTACGACACACCTATTTGTCTACTGGCATTTGGTGTGTGTTTTGATGTGGTGGGCAAAGAATACACTTTCTTTCAGAACTTACGTAAGTTTACATAATGTGAATGATTTGGTCATAGGGTGTTTCAAAGTAGGTTTCTCTTAATATAATTCGAAATACATGTTATCTTTTATTAAAAGATTCTATTCACTTTGCCTTCTTAAACATTTACAGACTTTGGTTGAGAAGTTTTTATTTCTTCAATGTAAGTTTTACTTTTAGTCTAACATCCATCTTGCAACTCTAGTTAATATGAAGACTTTTTTTATATATATCTTTCAGATAGCTCTGCTACATTCGTGATCAAGGAATTATTACCAAAGAAAGACCTTAATAATGGAGAATTATACCAGTCAGTGCTCTTGGGAAGACCTGAAAGCCATGGCCTTGAGGATTTTGACTTCAGGGAAGTCTGGGGAAATACGTATGAATTTGAGAGCAAGTGCGAATATGAAGAAAGAAATTCAAAAGGAATGCTTGTGACAGATAACTTAAATCTCAGTGGTCGAAGAGATAAACAAGACAGCAAATCCTGGATTAATTTACCTTTAAAGCACAGTGTTTCTTTAAGAAAAAGTACATATCAATATTTTAAACAAGGGAAATCATTAATAAAGAATTTGTTAAAAATAAAAACCAATATAATCTATGCAGGAAACAAGTATACAAAATGTTTTGAAAATAGAATTGCATTAAGCTCCCAGTCGCATCTGGCTGAATTATTTCAAACTGAGGAGAAAATTAGTGGATGTAATCAAGTTGAGAAGTCTGTCAAAACTTGTTCCATTTTGCCGCTTCAGAGATTGCCTTCTAGTGTCAAAACCAACATTTGTAATAAATATGGAAAGGTTTTTATGTGTCCTTCATTGCTTACACAGCACCAGAAAACAAAAGTTAGAGAAAAACCATACAAATGTAACGAATGTGGAAAGACTTTTAGCCATCATTCAGTCCTTACTAGTCATCAGAGAATTCATTCTGAGCAGAGACCATACAAATGTAATGAGTGTGGTAAAGCCTTTAAGCAGTTCTCAAACCTCACAAGACATCAGAGAATCCATACTGGAGAGAAACCATATAAATGTAATATATGTGACAAGGTCTTTAATCAAAATTCCCACCTTACAAACCATTGGAGAATTCATACTGGAGAAAAACCACACAAATGTCACGAATGTGGTAAGGCTTTTATCAAGTGTTCAGATCTCTGGCGTCATGAGAGAATTCATACAGGAGAGAAACCTTACAAATGTAATGAATGTGGTAAGGGTTTTACCAAACGTTCATATCTTTGGGATCACAAGAGAATTCATACTGGAGAGAAACCATACAAATGTACTGAATGTGGCAAGGTTTTTAGGCAGTGGTCTACCCTCAGGATTCATCGAAGAATCCATACTGGCGAGAAACCTTATAAATGTAATGAGTGTGGCAAGGCTTTTAAGCAATGCTCACACCTCACTAAGCATCAGAATGTACATCCTGGAGAGAAGCCACACAAATGTACTGTGTGTGCCAAGGCTTTTATCCACATTTCAAGTCTTGTGAAACATCAGAAAATTCATTCTGGAGAAAAACCATACAAATGTAATGAATGTGGTAAGGCTTTTATCCAAAGTTCAAGTCTTGTGGATCATCAGAGAATTCATACTGGTGAGAAACCTCACAAATGTAATGAATGTGGCAAAGCCTTTACTGTGCGTTCAAGCCTAACTAAACATAAAAAAAACCATACTGGTGAGAAACCTTATAAATGTGATGAATGTGACAAAGCATATACACAGCTTGTACACCTTACTAGACATCAGAAAATACATACTGAAAAGAAACATGATGAATCAGGTATACATGGTAATGCTTTTATTCAAAGCTCAAGCCTGGGGGATCATCAGAGAATTCATGGAAGAGAGAAACCTTATAAATGTAATGAGTGTGGCAAATCTTTTAACTGGTGTTCACGCCTTACTCGACATCAAAGAATCCATACTGGAGAGAAACCATATAAATGTAATGTGTGTGGCAAGGCTTTTAGTCAAAATTCAAACCTTACAATTCATCAGAGAATTCATACTGGAGAGAAACCTTACAAATGTAATGAATGTGACAAAGCCTTTAAGCAGTATTCAAGCCTCATAAGACATCAGAATATACATCCTGGAGAGAAACCACACAAATGTATTGTGTGTGGGAAGGCTTTTATCAAACGTTCGCACCTCTGGGGTCATGAGAGAATGCATACTGGAGAGAAACCATACAAATGTATTGAATGTGGCAAGGCCTTTAGACAATGGTCTGACCTCAGGATTCACCAAAGAATTCATACTGAAGAGGAACCTTAGAAATGTAATGAATGGTGGGGTGCTTGGGTGGCTCAGTCAGTTAAGTGACCGACTTCAGCTCAGGTCATGATCTTGTGGTTCATGAGTTTGAGCCCTGCATTGGGCTCCATGCTGGTGGTGCAGAACCTATTTGGGATTCTCTCTCTCTCTCTCTCCTTCTGTCTGCCCCTTCTTCACTCTCTCTCAAAATAAATAAACTTTTTAAAAATGTGAGTAAAAAAGAAACATAACGAATGAGAATCATTTAACCATTTTCCACAATACACTATATATCAGAGGATTTATACTAGGGAGAATTAAGTCTAGTCCAAGATTAATCAACCTCAGATGTTAAATTCTTCACAGTAATTAAAAGTCAAAATCATTTAAGACTCATGAGATGAGTGTCAATGGAACAAGGTGATCTTTAGTAGTGATGTACCATTTATTAAAAAAAATTTTTTAAGTGCCATCTTTTTTTATTGAGAGAGAGGGAGAGAGAATCCCAAGCAGTCTCTGTGCTGTCAGCACAGAGCCCAGTGTGGGTTTCAAATTCATAAACCATGAGATCAGGACCTGAGCTGAAACCATGAGTCAATGCTTAACCCACTGAGCCACCCAGGTGCCCCTGTACCATTTCTTTTAAAACTACTTTTTTGTTTTGTTTTGTTTTTAATTTGAGGTTTCTTAAAAAGCCTACATCACTATTGATGTCTTTCAACCTGAAGTTTGGTGTTCTACTTTCATTACATGTTTTTGTGTGTGTGTGTGTGTGTGTGTGTGTGTGTGTGTGTGTGTGTGTGT